AAAAAAAAAAAAAAAAAAGAATTCTCCCTGAGCCTACCTAGATGTTTATCCTTTTCTTTGTATGTACTAGAAATTCAGTATTTTCTTCTCCCCTTCTCGCAGGAACCCTTCTCTGAAGCAACAGCTCTTCTCCTACGCCATTCTGGGCTTTGCCCTCTCAGAGGCCATGGGGCTCTTTTGCCTGATGGTGGCCTTTCTCATCCTCTTCGCCATGTGAAGGAGCAGTCTCCGCCTCGAATTCTTTCTCCCATGTTTGTCTGCCCTGTATGTCCCTTTTCCTATWCTTCCTCAGGCAATCTGGGGTAAGTGGTTGGCTCAGGGTTTGACAGAGGGAAGACAAATAAATACTGTATTARTAAGATGTTTCTTGAGTCTCCCGTGTATATTTCTTTTCCACAGTTGACTGAGTATCCTGGTGAGAGTACAAGGTATGCAAGGTGATGAGGGTTCTAAAACTCAGCAGGGTCTGGCTGAGTTCAATTGTTCTTAATTGTGTTTCAAGGAAACCTCATTTGAAATAGCTCTCCTTTTTAATAATTACCACCTCACATGACYTCTTATTTGCCTTAAAGGATTGGGGTTAGTGGCAACTACAATCCTGGCTTAAAATGATGATGATGATTAATTCATTTTCTGTTAACTATCACTGTCACTGTCCTAGCTCAGTCCCTTGTTGTCGGTCTGTTGTAAGAATCTATTATTGGACCACTTGCCTCCTGTCTCTGCCCTTTACTTTTTACTTGTATYCACTACTGCCAGGTTAATTCTCCTGTAGGACTGGTTTTTGTTTACCAACTCAAAAACAACTTTCTTAGCTTTATATTTTGGGGGGTTTTATTTCTTTAAGATGGGGTCTTGTTTTATTGCCCAGACTGGCCTGAAAGTTCTGGCTCAAGGGATCCTACTGCCTGAGCCTCCTGAGCTGAGACGAGACTATAGGCACATTCCATCATGTTGGGCTTATCTTTTTTTTTTTTTTTTTAGTTGTAGATGAACACACAGTATCTTTTCTTTATTTTTATGTGGTGCTGAGGATCTAACCCAGTGCTTCATACATACAAGACAAACGCTATACCACTGAGCTACAGCCCCAGTCCCCAGGACTATCTTTTATTCTTACACACTTAACCCAAAGTGACTGTCATTTTTCAGATGCTTTCCCATCCTTACTTCTGCTCATCTTTGTTTTCTTTCTCAGAATCTTTGCTTACTTTCCTCTTTTTTATGTATTTATTTATTTATTTATTTATTTTTGTGGTGCTGGGGATTGAACCCAGGGCCTTGTGCATGCGAGGCAAGCACTTTGCCAACTGAGCTATATCCCCAGCCCTGCTTTCCTCTTTTTCAATCTGTTTTCTTAAAGACTTGCTTAAATGCTGTCTTTTCCTGCATGAAGCTAATATCTAATTTCTACCTACCCTCAGTCAAATGAGCATTAACCCCTATAAAGGGCTATAGAGCATATTGTATCTTGTTTATAATACTATGGTCTATAATCTATGGATTTGTGTGCACGTGGACACTTAAATCTCCCAAATCAGGTTGTCTATTTTTTGAGGCTGAGACTCTCATGTTCATGTTCATATCCATAAAAGTATTTAATATAATTTGTCTCAGCATGTACTTAGTCACTTTTTTTTTTTTAATTTTCTCACCTGATTCATTCTCCCTTCACAAGTAAGGAACCAAACTTTGAGAGATTGAAATGTTTTATCAGAGGCATTCACTAACAGGGAACTCATACAATCCAAGATATAAGACTATCATATTGTTGGTCTTATGGGACTCTTCCCAAGAAAAATGTTGCTGGTGACTATTAAAAATGAAGGAAGAAAAGGGCAGAGAAAACAAAGATAAACTTTTTTCTGTTAAAAATGGCTCATGAGGTCTGGGGTTGTGGCTCAGAAGTAGAGCGATCGCCTAGCATGTGTGAGGTACTGGGTTTAGTCCTCRGCACCACATTATAAAATAATAATAAAGATTGTGTCCACCTAAAAAATAAAAAAAAAAAAAAGCCTCATGATCTGAGCACAACAATCAGGAGCAGTATTACATGCTTGTGATTCTAGTGGCTCGGGAGGCTGAGGCAGGAGGATTACAATCAGAAAGAAAACACAGATACCTTCTTAGGGTGGTGAGGATTGAGCTAGGGCCTTGTGCATGATATGCAAGCACTTTACCACAGACCTGTGGCCCCAGTGCTATTCTTAAAATGCATACCTGATGACTGAGGAAGGGGAAAGGCAGTAGAGCCTTCTACCAAAGGTTTAAATTCAAGTGAATAAAACAAAGGGAGGGCTATTGCTTATTTCCAAATATGTATATACTTCCCATCACCTCTGGGTTGGAGGAAACACAAATCAGAATCTGTGCTCATGAGGTCCACACCCCAGATAATATARCAATCAATCTGGAAGCAAACTGTGGAAAGACCCCTCTTGATCCTTAATCAAATATCAAAGGGGCACGGATAAATGATTTGGGAGTGATCTGCCTGTGGACTTTTAGTCACTGCTTGAACCAAAAGTAAAACCACTAAAGTCAACTATGTTATAATTTCTGAAAAGATGTTAGCACATATCCAGTTATTTCAAGCTATGTAAGATAGAGCTTATTCAAAATTTAGCCTTTAGAAAATACAGGAAATTTGCCAGGAATGGTGGCACATCCCTGTAATCTCA